ATATTAAAGAATACCTATAACTTACATAATTAAAATTATAAACATTTTATAATGTAGGTATTATTTTAGCACCAAAGGAAAAAGACTTGAATTCATCAGTTCGCTAACTTAATCTAAGTCGGTTGCAAGTTTTACTTCAGCAGCACTCAAATTACCTTTCACAGGTTTTTAATACATAACAATTACAATATATTTTATTTTTATATGCTCCAGTATTAGTAGTCATCATGTATTGACATAATAAATCAAATACAAAAATATAATTACCTTACTGCCATTTAATGTCATTCTATACGAAACAATCATCAAAGACCTCGTTACATATTTCGCCAAGCTCTAACCATTAATTTTATTTAATCCCAATAGTTCTTTAGAAAAAATTCCCGAGCCAGAAAACATAGTTCACACAATTTTTATGATTGCACCAAATTATTTGTTTAATTTAAAAATGTTTTTTTACTTCAACCAACTAGGTAAGCTAGTGTTTTTTATGTCTTTGTACCGAATACCGAGCAATTGATAACTGAGATTTAAGTAGTCCATTGATAAATGATCCAAGTATTGTGATTGATGAATTAGCAAAAACAAAAAATAAACAAATGTCCTTTATTTTATAAATTAATATTATTTTTTATTTTCATTTTATAATTTTGTTAATTTGAAGTTGTTTACTCTTAAAAGTCTATAAAGAATTAAACCTGAAGTTATGTTATTCTTGATATTGAATTAATACTGTTAAAATATTTTTGCTTTTTTAATATTCTTAAAATACAAAAATAAATCATGTTACAAAAAAGATAACAGCTAAAATTGGAAACCCAAAAATTCACTACTCATATCCCATATGTTAGGACAAATCTTTCTAACAGTTATATATAAACACATTACAAAATAAAACGGGCCTACCTAATTATTTTGTGCTAGACACGCCACTAGTTTAAATTATCATTTTCTATAATCAATAAACAATGAAATGTTATACAAATATTTAGACTAATTTTACGTTATTTATAGATACTTATTTTAAATTTATTATTTATTATTTTTAGATTTTGATAAGAATTAATATATATCCAATATGTAGATTTTAAAAAAAGCGAAGAATGTATTGACTTTACAATAATGTGTGTTACTTTTGTCATTTCTTTTTAAGGCAGTAAAAATGTTTCAATTTTCAATTCTAGAGATATTTTTTAGTAGCAAATTGTATCTAGTTCATAATTTGAGAGATAAAAGTTAAATTTGTGTAGTATTATTCAAAATAAGCGGAAAAAATGAAAATAATTTTACACTAAATCAGAATTTGACGAAATCGATTTTACTTAAAAATCAATTCTTAAAATGTTCACTCCAAATGTATTAATAATAGCACTTTCTATGGATCAACAATTTTTTTAAATATTTTTGAGCTATACATAGACATATGACATTTTCGACTTTTTTTTCTTTAAATGTCGATTATTTTTAAAATCAACGAATCGATACATTTTGAAAATTTAAAACAATGTTCCTCATAAGTTGTTATTATAGCTGTTTAAAATATTTTTAAAATGAATATATTTTTTTTTATAATTTTATAAGTATTATTGTAGTTTAAATTTTAACAACATTAGTCAAGATCACAAAAACTTGCCAATTAATTTGTTGTTAAAAATACATAAATTATTTAATTTTTATAACTAAAAATTTTTAATTTAAAACAAGATTACTCACAACTAGTTCATACTATTACCAAATAACTTAAAAATATATTAACACAATTATTTTCATGGAAATTTTTAGTTAAAATTTAGATGTAGTATAAATTTAAATGAAGTATAACAATTTTATTATTTTGTTTTAATTTAAAAATATTATTCGTGGGTGTACTTACTTAAAATTTTAGAACAAAATATCTAGTTCAGCGCCCAAGCGATTTTTCAATTTTTACTACGGAACCTATGTATTTCAACAAATTTAGAACAATAGAGTAAAAATAAATTGACGTAAATCATTAGTTAAAACAAATATCACGATTTTTGGTGTTTTGCGCATGCGTACAACTCTCTATTTTACCGTGCTTTTAATGAATTTTCAATTTTTTTTTTTTATTAATATTTGGTAAATCAATGTTTTAAAAATGAAAGTGCAAAAATAAACTATCGGAAATCAATAGTTTTTAAGTTATTGTATAAAGTTAGTAATACTCGGTGGTTTACGCATTCGTACTACGCTCTATAAATTTTCTGTTTTACTGAACACCCTCTTTTGAAATTTTTATTTGTTTTAACTTACCTATACTGATAAGTAGGCTGAAAACGACGAGGAAATCAAAATTTGGCTAAACCATCATAGCAAATTTGAATTAGTAGTATTTTCACATACACCTGACGTAGTCATTTACTCGCTGCGTTCGTATAGACAATTAAAATCAAAAATAAATTTACCTCGACTTGCTATGTAAAACTACCATGGGTGAGTCTCGGTTAGTTAAAACAAAATTATTAAAAACATATATTATCGTAGGTACACGTACACCCGGCGAGATCACTCCTTCACTCGAACAATTAAAATCAAAAACATCTCTCGACTTATTATGTAAAACCACTATAAGTAGAGGTATTGCATCATGAAATAAAAAAATTATAAGTGATTACTGATTAACATTGATTTCACTAGGTTTCAAAAAAAAATAATTGAAAAATACATTATAAGAACGGTAAAATATAGCATTGTACGCATGCGCAAAACACCAAAAATCGTGATTTTCGCAAGGCTTACTAATTATTTGCGCCAATTTATTTTTGCACCATCGTTATAAACTCATTGAAATACATAGGTTCCTGAAAAAAAATTAAAAAAATTTGCGTGAGCACTAAACTAGATTTATGCCAACATTTTTAACGTAATTACTATACTATTACATTTAACACAAAGATATTTTTAAATGTTACGTTTATTGGCAGAAATTAATTCAAACTATCGTATACTAATAGTATAAAAATTATTTGATACGTAAATAAATCATAAAATGTACTTGGTATTATAGACTGACATAGTGACATACCGTCTTCGCTTATATCTAATTGGTTTTCGTGTGCATGATTTTTCGTTGAATTCGAATATTTTAAAACATACACGTTACAACTTACAGTAACTTATACTCAATGACAAGGCACATTCATCACCGACATCGCCTAGTAATTAGTATAGGTACAGACAAGTAATCATCTCATTCGTTAATAAAAAATGTTAGGTAAATACGGAAAAAGCTTAACATTTTAATAAAATAACTCATAGGTACCTACATGTTTTTTTTTTTTTTTTACTGCAATTTCAAATTATTAAAAATACATAAGAAAGATTTAGTTCTATATTTGAGTTCAAGTTTTAATAAAACTGGATATTCAAATTCAATTGAAAAATAATGATGTTACAAAATACAAAATAAATTGGGAGAATGAAAATTGGTCATTGATGTGAACGCTCCCGGTGGTTTATTTTTATAATGGCTTCGCAAAATATTGAAAAAAAAAAAGCGCGGGTATTTTGAATTGTGAATGTATTTACATTTTATAATAACCTACTGTGCAGTACAAATAAATAACTTTGATAAAAATATAATCATTATGTCATTTAATACAAAATTTAAAAATTTTGTATGCCGGTAACGCTTTATACTACTCAGATTGAAAATCCCTGTTGATCAAAAAAAATTAATTGCTATTATATTTGACAACAGACAATTTTTATTCTCTATACTATAATTATGTTAATAGTAAAAATATTTGCGACATGAAGACTAAAATAAGGAGACCAAATTCAACTTTTGATAACAAATCTAGTCGCATAATTAAATGGTCACACCCTGTGCTTCGGTGGCAAAGGTTGCTACTTTAACTAGCCTAGTATAGGAATTATTCATGTTTTTCACTTTTTTGGAAAATTCATAAATTTCGAACCACGACTTATTACAAATGTTATAAATCTGAAAATTATGCATTTATACATGTATATATATATATATATGTGTATATTTCATGATTAATAGTTATTTTATTTTTCTCTATAAATTATTAGTAAACAATATATGAATACTATTGCAATGACATTTATTCAATGTGCATACCTACAATAGAGGATAATACACGTTACTTATGCTTTTCGCTGACATTATATTACATAATGTGTTATTAAATAATAAAATTGAACAATAATCTTCAAATAATACTTGAGATAATCAAGATTAAATGCATGCCTATGTCAGTTACTGTTGATCTTTGCCGCCAATAATAATAATAATAGTAATAAAAAAAACAAAAATTAAACAATTAATTAAGCTATTTTTTCTTTTCTTTTTTATTAACATAGATAATAGCTCAATAATTTATACAGTAATTGTGACTCTAATACTTTATTTGTTCACTAAATGCATTTTAAAAACTTATAAATCATTAATTTTGATGATTGAAATGAAAAATTGATCATAAAGGTATCTTTAATTTAATTTTAATTTTTTAACTTTCTATTCAAAATTTTCTTTGAATTTTTTTTAAAAATTCATTATTTTGTTCTTTAATGCTCAAATCATAATTTTATGCATATTAGTATTTTTATACATGGATTGTCATTAGTTCATATAATATACTGTTAATTGTACAGACTAATCCGAAAAAATTACCATTGCTATGACTTTTATGATATTATAAAAGTACAATAATGTAATTGAATAGTACAAAATATTTTTATGTAACTCAAAAATAACAATGTTTATTAAAATAAAAGATTTTATGTATAATATATTACAATATATATACTTATATTTTTCATTGAAAACAATTTTAAAACTGTTTATATGTCAATAATTAATATCTAATGTTTATACTGAAAATTTTTGTAAAAAACATTTTTCAAAATATGTTATAAATAGCTACGCTTAATATGTAATTACTAATTAAATAGTTCAAATTAAGAATGTTTTTATTTAAACTATATACAAATGAATTTAAAACATACATCTGTATAATACAATTTATTAGACAAAAATAAAAATGTAATAAAGTATAAACTATACATCTTACGTTTCTACTTTTTCTCGATTTATATTATTAACTAATAATTGGTCAGCAAATGATTCATAGACTGAATCTATTGCAATATATTTACCACTCATCAATTCTTCTAAGATTGGTTTAAGCAGAGCAGATGATTCTCTAACCACTGTTTCTGCAGTATTCATCTAGGAATAATAATAATAGTTGTTACACTAAAATTTTTTTAATTCAAAAAATATTGTAAAAAGACTATTATAATCACTTCATAATCACAAAACCGGATTCCAGTACAATATGATCTAGATGCTCTACCAAGCACTGCTGTCATGGCATAAATATATACGATTACTGTCGATAACCTTTCCATAAGCATTTGATTATCAGTATTCAGTTGACCAGCAGCATGAGATTGGTCAATTATAAATTGAAATTTCAATACATCATACTCAAGAAAATTTGCAGCATACTGAAATGGAAAAAATATCATTAAGTATGATTAGTTCAGTAACAAATACTGTAGACTAGTTTAATAGACCAATAATATTACATACCTGGAGTGCAGGATGTAGATATTGTTTAAAACCATATTTTAAACTCGGCTCATTTCTTTTCATCATTAGATTTCTATAAGCTGTAGTTAAGAATGAAACATTTTCTTCATAATCAGATTTATTAAAAAACTCTATACCTTGACTACTAATAAAATTAGCTAGTTTTATACTTCCTTCCAAACTCTCAACTAAATTCTCCACCTCATTGCACAAAGATAAAAATTGATCACTTACTGAATTTCTTCCATTAACCATTTTTAAATCTAACAATACATTGTTAACTGTTTGTCGAGCAAATAGTTGTACGGAAGCTGACTCCAAGCCGATATCTGGATTATCAAATCCATCAGTCATCCACGTGGTTAGATATATCATACTTTCAAGTGTGTATATGTTCATTAACGATTTTGCTAATATCTCAAGAACAGAATCAAATTCTCTTAATTTTAGATTTAACCTAGTTTTGGGTATTATATTTTGAATGGTTGATTGAACAACTCTCTTCAACGACGTAGCCAATGAAGAACATGCGTATAATTTACCTTTGTGCATTATTTTTGTTAAATCAACATTCTCTATTACATCATCTGGAGTAACGATTACCTGTCTCAACTCTAAATTTTCTCCATTGGCAAAAGTTTTATCCTTTTCTACTATGTACGCTTTATTTTTAATAACAAATAACAAGAAAACATCTGTAGACTGTTTTACGGAACCAGTAAGTTCCCAACTTTCATTGGGTAGTAGTGTACCTATTACAGTATCGATGTGCAACGTACATACAGCACCCGATGCGAGCAATGGTAAATATTTAGATTTTTGATTAGGTGTACCAAAAGTTTTAATAATATCAACACAGAGCGTGTGATCAAACACAGATTTGAATGTATTGGAATCAAAGTACTCAAATACACGAGCAACTTCAGTGTCTGATAGGTTGAGACCTGAACATGGGTATGGAGCACTCATGCCAAATAGTCCTAGTTGCCGGACAGTATCGATTTTTGAACAATTGTGTTGAACTTGTTGCACACGGGATTCCAAGTCCTTGTACCTCTCCAAATTAAGTGTTTCTGGATAAGTAAGGACTTCGATATCATACTGACCGGCATATATTGATTTCAGAAATGGTAAGCGCGGTGGTTTTCTCACTATATCCGGAACGGGTTTTGTTTTTACTTTATCTAGTCCGTATGAATCGTTTGAAAATGCGCAACGAACAATGAGTTGTTGTTCGAGTTTCCTGAAGAATACACGTCGATTTATAACACTCCACATTGTAATTTCTAAATTTATATTATAACATTTATAACATTTATAACGCAATACATATCAACGAGTTTTTTATATTATTTAAAAAACTTAACTTTTAATCACACAACGTGACCGTCGATTCGATTACAACTATATCCTATCACAGTATATTTATAGTACTATGATAAGACGAAATATGATAATAAATCTTAGAGAAAATCATAAACCATATCAAGATCTATCAGTGGCGGCGCGAAATTGTGGAGGCTTTGAAGCATATTGTATATTTTAAATATTTTTACCACCACCCTTAATAAGTAGCAGTGGCCAAAGAGCTTTCAAACATGAAGCAATTGCTTCAAATAATCCTATATCCCGCCGCCACTGAGATCTATGCCATCGCCCCTCTATGGAGAAATCAGAAAATAAAAAATAATTAATTGTTATAAATTATAATTGACATTCGATTTTGAGAAAATTCTAATATTTAAATACTTTTAAAACTTTTAATTTGTTATCATATTACTTTAATGGATACTCAAATCTTCTAAGACCGTGCTCAAAACTAAAAGTATATATTAATAAATAAAAGGTGATTAGGTTGCTACGAGAGAGGCTATGGAAATAAATTTAAAATAAAATAGAAGATCAATAGAGAAAAAATAGACATCAAACTAGTAACACGAGTAAATAAGATCTTGAGAATAGAGTTTCATAGAGATGTAAGACAAAGATGGCCGACCCCATATAGCTGGGAGTAAATTAGTAGTGTCAGTGTTACTAATATCCGAATAATTTTAACATATTGCTTACCTACTAATTAAAAATTTAAATATTTGTTATTTGATTTATAAATTATAGATTGTGTATTTAAGTCGGTAAAATATGACGTGTATTTTATATCTTTGGAAAATTTGATTTATTCGGTTATTCAGATATCCAAAAATCCAGATTTTTGACATCATTAGAGTGAAGCATAAAATAATGAAGGTAAAATTATTATAATCGTTGATACAATTTGTTTAGAAATCCCCAACAGAAATACCTTATTTACTAATTTCCATTTTCTCGACATAAAAATGTATAAAATTACTTTGGCATTTTCATAAATATAACTAAAACCTTTGATCAATCATTGTGGTTTTAATTTTTACACGAGTCATTCAACTTAGGTACCTAGATCTAGGACCTAACCTAGGTTTATGGTTTATAATTTACTTAACTTAATATTAATATAATGACAAACTGACACTATAATAGTATACAATAAAGTTTGTAGTAACTAGATAAAAAATAATTTAGTTATATTGCTAAAACTACTAGTTATTTGTTTATATTATGAATTATATATATTTTTGCATTAATTTTAGATTATTTTAATTTTATTACGTATTAACATTATTACTAATACTATTATTCCAATGCAGAAATAAAAATATTATTATCTTAGTAATTACTCAAATTGTCTAAACAAAAAAATAATAAAATAATATTGATTATTATTATACTATTCTAAAACTAGTCATTTACTTTTTGATGAGAAAAATCTTTAAGTATAGTTAAAAGAATTAAAAAAATAATAACTCAACTTTTGAATTATATAAGTTTTATTTTTCCTGAAAATTTGTAACTTGGTTATTCAAATCAATTTATATTTTAAAATTTACTTTAACTTGGCTTA